TCACAACTGCATCATTAACCCAGACAGCAAACCCAAGGCTTTGAAGTAGGAGAGAAGCAGTGGACACAGTAGGGAACTTACTCCAAAGACACTTACAGCCCAGGCCTTGGGAAGCACCTGGCTGTCGGAGCTGGCAGGGAAGGTAGTGAATGTCAGTCTGAATGTTGGTGTTCCCATAATTCACATGTTAAAACAACCCCCAATCCATAGTATTAAAGATGGGGCCATTAGGAGGCAATTAAGATGCCAAGGACTTCTCCCTCTTAAAGGGATTCAGTGCCCCTGTATAAAAGGCTTGAGGGGAACTGCTGGCCTCTTTTGTCAGGTAAGGATGCAGCAAAAAGGCACCATCTCTGACAGCCAGGCCTCACACACAACAAATCTGCTAATACCTCCATCTTGGACTTGCCAGGCCCCTAAATTGTGAGCAAAAAATTTTCATTGTTTATAAATTGCCTAGTTTAAGGTACTTTGTTATAGCAGTCTGGACTAGACAACCTCCTGACTCTCAGCCAGGAAGCTAGAAACTGCCTCATTTATTTGAGCATGAAAGGGGCAGTTCAGGGGTGGAGGAAGGTTCAATGTGGGACACTGAATGAGGGGGATGTGTGGCAGGCCCTTGGGAAAGTCTGGAACCCAGAAAGGAGCTACTGGAAACTGTTTTGGGTGCTATCTCATGGCAGTGGAGCCACTAGAGAAGCTGCCCCTAAGCAGAAGAGCAGCAGGCAGGGTACAATGGCCACTGAAGCCACAGGTCTAAGGGGGTTATCCAGGGACTATTGATGGAAGAGAAAGGAAGAAATTAGACCAAGAAGGAGGTTAGGAGAGAACCAAGAATGGTTGACAGGGAGAATGTGGTTGAGAAGGAAGCTACAGAAGGGTAGAGAAATAAGAGCTACAAAGTATTCTTTAGGCTAGCAACAAAGAGGGTGTTGGAGCTGGGAGTGGTGGTTCATACTTGTAATCACAGCACTCCTGAGGCTAAGGTAGGAGGAGCTTATGTTTTAGGTCAGCCTGAGGCTACATAGTGAGTTTAAGGTTGCCTGGGCTACCTACCCAGACACTGTCTTCAAATAAAGTGTTGGGAGTTCCCCCAGAGGGTGGAGTTGACCCCCTGCAGGCAGTGAGTGGGGCTGGCAGCACCTGTTTCCAGAGGAAGGCATTGGAATAGCAAGTGGCTGAGCTCTCCAGACTGAACCACTAGGAAGGGAAGTGTTCTCTGTTGAAGGTTTAGGGGACTTGGGTAAGGTGAAGCTAAGGATGTGTGTAAACTAGAAGTGACAATGCCTCAGGAAGGTGTGCCTTTCCCTGTCAAGTAGAAGATAGGGTAACCATCAACAAGGAACAGGAATGGCAAAGGGCCCTCAAGGAAAGAAGAGACTTGTTATAGATGCCAGGGGATGGAAATGGAAGCCCATCAGGAGCTCCTGGAAGACCATCTGGGCTAGTGGCTGCGGCTGCTATCAGAGGAGCAAGTGGCTGGCAAGCATCTCAGGTGGGTTGCCTTGGGAAGACAGGCTGTGTTAACTGTATCCCTTAGGCCCCAGAACACCGACAGACCCATGCAGGGGAAGAGTAGCTGAAGTGCCAGAGATCTGGCAAGGGAGGATGCCTTATAGACATCTGGCTGAAAGTTCTGGACAGCATCTGAAGGTCTTAGAACTAGACTGGTAATAGGAACTTTGCTCTCTACCCACTTTCACAGCAGACACTCAAGGCTCTGTGTTCAAGTGTGACCGCAGCACTAGAGACAGACTGAGATTATGAACTCCCCTCAGGGCCCACTGCTACCCTTGCCCAGCTAAATTGCAGGGGGCTCACCCTATGGGTTTCCTTAGCTAGATGCTGGCTGGGCCTAGCCTAGTGCTCACACTTTGGTAGCAAAAGGATCAAATTGGAGTTGGCCTTCCCTAAGTTTTTAGGTATTTAGGCAGTTCATCCATGGGCTTTCCAGGATCTCAGATCTTTGAGTTAGGACTCTAGAGGAGGTAGTTTTTTTTTTTTTTTGGGTGGGAATGGAAATTGAACTCAGGGCTTCAAGCTTGCAAAGCAAGCACATTTATCATTTGAGCCACATCTCCTGTCCACCTTACTTTTTGTTGTTGTTGTACTAGGGATGGAATCCAAGGCCTCATGCATGATAGGCACTTAATCACTGAGCTACATCCTCAGCCTGTCTTACCTAGGCATACCCTTGGAAAAGAGAATTACTACCTTTAGTTCATAGATGAAAATCATTGAAGCCCAAAGTCACAGTTTTTTCTTGGTGGTACTGGGATTTGAACTCAGGATCCCTTGCTAGGCTTGCTCTACCACATGCCCAACCTGAGGTATTATTTAATGTCTGCCTGCCAGTGCTGGTTCTGTGCTTTTCCATTCATTCAAGGACCCTGAATAGGCATGTGGACCTTGCTAGGGACATCCACCCTGAATCTGTCCTTCTCCACTCTTACTGATGTTTCCTTTATTCACTGTTTACCAATTCAATCCTTTGGGGTTTAAAACTGTGTCCTGTCTTGTCATTCTCTCCTGCCTCTCTGTACTCACTAAACTCCTATCTAGCCTTCCTTTCCTTTCTCTTGGAAGACAGACTGTTCTGAGACCAACAAACAGGAATTCCTTAATTCCCACACCCATACTCCATTCACTTACCAGGCACTGACAGAAAATGTTATACACTAGGTAAAGCCAGACTGACAAGTTCTGCCTCCAGAAACTTCATGCTGGCATCAAAGGTGTCTACTTTTACCCCTGAATTGGTTCATCGCAGGAGGTGGCATCTGGTTCAGGAATCCTTCTTCACTTGTTTGTCTTAATTCTTTGGCCTTCTCTCAGTCTATTGGCTCCTTTACAATAGGCTACAAGAATATTTATTTTCCCCCCTGAATTTACTGTGTGCCCTCAAAACCAAAACCATGCAGTATCTTACTTAATGGTCACTGCAACCAAAGAAGTGGTACTATTTTCCTCATTTCATGGAAGGGAGGATGTTTTGTTTTTGAGACAGGGTCATTATGTAGCCCAGGCTAGCCTCAATCTCACAATCCGCCTGCTTCAGCCTCCTAAGTGCTGGGATTACAGGTCTTTCATCATGCTGGTTCTTTTTAAGAATCTTATGTGGTATTTACAATTGATTTTTCATTGAATACTTGCTAAAATCTGTTGTGTCTCAGGCACTGGTACCAGGTACTGTGATAAAAGAGGTAATGAATGTCATGAGAGAACCTTTAGTGTGAGGAAACTGATCTAGAGATTTTACTATTCTTTTGTTTCTGTCGAAGCCTTGATCTAGTCCTAGTTCCTCCACTTTGTAGTTATGCAGTAAGTTAACTTATGTCCTAGTTTCTATAAAACACTGATGACTTTTTCATAGACTTTGAATCAATTTATAATTACTAAAGAGCTGGAATAGGACCTGGCACTTGGTGAACACTATAACTATCAGGTATTATTTTGCTGCCCCAGACTGACTTAGAGCAACACCACTTGACACTAAATTACACCGGCTCCCCTGCTGCTTCTAAGAATCTCAGTTCTTCGCTCATTCATTTAGCAAGGAATTCAGCACTACTATGTGCAGGCAATGCATTAGGCACCAGGAATACAGCAGAGACAAGTCTGTGCTCTCATGGCTGGGGAGGGGACAGGCAGGAAACTCACCCAATGAGTTATGAGCATCCAAAGAGGATGTGATGGTCCCCAGGGGACACTTTTCAATTGTTGGAGCTAAATGACAGCCATGCGACATTGCTGGAACCCATCCCTACCACTTCATCATCCTCACGGTCTTCCCAGCCTCTTTCCACGGGACCCGGTGCTCTGCTTGGCAAAACCGAGGGTCCACACTTTGGGTCCTGCCATTCTTTCTCGCCGCCCCACTCAACCCAGAAGCATCCCACTGGCCCCCATCCCATAGTGTTCAAAATGTGCGCCTCCTCAGGGGACCATCTGCAAACAGGTGCAGACCGCAGAACTGGCACCAGCCTCTGCTCTAATCTGAGCCCAGTGGCAGCTGGGGTTTCCCAGGCTGTCTCAGGAGTGTGCTAGGAACAACTGCAGAACAACTCGATTGTCCCAAGAACCCCAGGGACCCGACAGCCCCCTGGACTAAAACCTGTCGTGGATGCCGAGGATCCTGCTTGTGCAGGGCAGCCAGGCCCCAGACGCGCACGGAGGCGCCGGTCTGCACAACTGGCAAAGCGCAGCTTAGACGACCTAAGGCCCCGCCGTCGAGGGGACCTCGCAGTCACACTTTAATGGACGTGTTGATCACAAACGAGGAGGCGGACAACTCGAGTGGCTGAAGGCCGCCCGGTACCTGTCCACACCACTCCATTACCTGCCAGCGCCAGGACGTGACCTCTGCGAGCCCGCTCCCCGTTAGGAAAAATGCCCGCCGCACGAGGCCGCTGTGGGATGAAACGGGCTGCTTGTGCACTGCTCGCGAACGTACGCGACTGCCTTTATTAACAGCTCTCCGGGCAGCGCTCCCGGCACGTGGCCCGGGAGGGAATCACCTGCGGCCAGGGGGATCTTCCAGGACCCCCGGTCAACCGCGGGCAGGGCTGATGGCCCCCAAAACGGCCAGTGTGAACTCTGCGGTCCCTGGACTTCCGGCGCTCTCCGGCTCATCAGCAGGAACGCGCGGGGAACTCCGCTCCAGGGCCGCAGGGTGGCCCACCGCGGAGGACAGGCCAGGGCCGCTCGTAGGGTCTCAGAAGAGTCTACAGCACCATGCGGCACTCGGGTACCAAAGACCAACCGCTCAATCCCGCCGCCCCCGCGCTCCCCAAACAGCTCGCGCCAAACGCGCCAGTCCCACAGCGCAGGCGCCGGGAGAGTACGCAGGACAGGAACTCTCAGGGCCCCGCGCGCCCACGAGCCAATCAGAGCGGGCCTCGCACAAAGCTAGTCCCACCCCCAGTGCGCCGCCACCAGACCCCTCCCCCTCCCTGACCACTCCAACCCGCCCACCCAACCCAAGCCCGCCCCACGCCGTCCAAGGTTAGAGGCTTGCGATTGGCTTAAGGGATTAGCGCGAGCTCTGGTTGGCCAAGGTGGAGTCACGAGGACGCCGTCGTCGCCTTTCCAGAGGCGATTACTGGGCAGGCTCAGTCTTTCGCCTCAGACGCTAGCTCTAGCTGGCAGTCAGTTGTACGCTCTCCGGCATCTTCAGTACCCGCGGTCGCCATCGACGTTGCTTGGGTTCCTCTAGGCTCATCTGCGCCACTCGCCCGCCACACACTCGGCCGTCATAACTCGCCATCATGGTGAAGCTTGCAAAAGTAAGAGGCCTTGCGCGCGGGCACGGACGTCGAGGCCTGGTTTCCAGGGAAGGCGCGCGCGCGGCGCCGCGGGGAGGAGGGCCTGCGCGCATTCCCGGGCGCGTTCGAGGGCGCCATGCTGCGGGAACTCTCGCGCGAGTAGCGGGAGGTCTCGCGGCCTTTGGCTACTTGCGGGTGAGGTGCAGAGCTTAGGCAGGTCCGGGGGGGGGGTGGGTGAACCGGAGGGGGACAGGCTTCCGCTCTGAGTGTGGGGAGGGGGCGCTGGGCTCTGGGGCGTGGAGATGAGGCCGAACTCCTGCGACTGGCGCGGGCTGGGCGCCGCCTCCTGACGCACGTGCTCCTGCGCGCGGTCAGCCACGTGGGCCGCGCCGCGTGGGTCCCGAGTCTCGGGGAGGTGGCGGGTGGCCTGGGAAGGGGAACAGCCGGCCTGGCCCCGGTGGGCGGCCCGGCGGCCTCCGGTACCTCTGCACCCCGGCGGGGACAGCCGACACGTGGCTCCAGGAGGAGGTCCCGCGCTGCGGGCTCATGGTGGCTGGCTGGTCCCCCCACGTGGCCGCGCTGGGCCTGGGGAGGCGGGGTTGTTGAGCTGGGAAAAGAAAGCTTTGTAGTTTCACGAAGGTGATTTTTTTTTTTTTTTAAAGTTCTCGAAGAGATCTTCACTCTTAAGTATAGTTCAGGCAACGGTGCCAGAATATACCGAGGAGCGGTTAGTTGTCTATTAAAACAAGTGCGCTGTAACTAAGGCGAAGGGAACAGGTGATTTCTTTAAGTTGCCTTTTAAAAGCAAAGATAAACACCCAAGTCTTAGTTTGGTTTTTCTGCTAACAAAACCAAACGGGAATAATGTCTCACGCTGCCAACAAGAATAGTTTCTGTGTGTTGTGGAAAGTGAGTTTTAATAAAGGTGATCGCATTTTACTGCAGAGGATGATGGCAGAATGTTAAGGGCTGTGATATTCTAATTATCCATTTCCAGGCCGGTAAAAATCAAGGTGACCCCAAGAAAATGGCTCCTCCTCCGAAGGAGGTAGAAGAAGATAGTGAAGATGAGGAAATGTCAGAAGATGAAGAAGATGACAGCAGTGGAGAAGAGGTAATGATGTTCACCTTACTGCAGTATTGAGTTAAAGATGAAGAGGTGAAACAGGTAGCATTGGATGTCTGAAAATACCGACAAAAACGACTTTATTCTTATAATGCCCTGTTACTATTGTTGAGTGACAAGCACTTGATTGACATGTTGATATCACTTGATAAAGTATTTGCAGGTTTGACACAGAAGATGGGGTTTCCTTTTCATGGACCATCTTCAGAGCTTGGTGTGTTAACTGGTATTGAATCATTACACTTTTCCAAGTTAAATTTGTTTCTTCATATATGCTAAAATGTGGAAATGATCTGAAAAACGTTGAGCTGAACATTGTCTTCAGACGCGAGAATGACTTTACTACATTCCTTTCTCATTCTCCAAGCAAGTATTTCATTACATATAAGCTTTATTTATTTATATATTTATTTTTTTGGTGGTACTGGAGTTTGAACTCGGGGTCTAATGCTTGCTACACTCTGCAAGCCCTGTAACCTTGTGTTGGGTATTTTCAAAATAGGTCTCTTGAACTATTTCCCTGGGCCGGCTTCAAAACACCATCCTCTTGATCTCTGCCTCCTGAGTAGCTAGGATTATAGGCATGAGCCACCAGCACCTATCTATATAAGCTCTTTTTTATGTATGTAGTGCTGAGGATGTGACCCAGGGTTAACAAAGTAGCTTTGGGTTTTTTTGTTTGCTTTGTTTTTGAGACAGGGTCTTAATGTGTAATAGCTCAGGCTGCCCTCAAACTCTTCATCCTCCAGCCTCAGCCTTGCAAGGCTAGGATTACAGGAGTGTACTGTAGTGCCTAGTCAAAAGGTAGCTTTGAGACTGAGTTACAGCTTTTTATCAAGCTACTAATACGCGTTTTTTGTGATACTGCGAAGGTTCAGCCTGCTCTTCATTTTAGCTCTCCTTTTAAGAATTAACTTTGGTTTTGATGGTATTGAGGTTTGCTAGCTAGGCAAGCACTTGCGCAATAAATACCTACTTGTATTTATTATTTTTGATATAGATTCTTATGTTTTTCTCCAGGACAGCCTTAGACCTATGCCTTCTTGCAGAGTTCAGATTAAGGGTTATGGCACCATACTCTGCTTATTGATTAAAGATGGCTAACTTTTTGCTCAGGATGACTTCTAACCTGATTCTCCCAATCTCTGCCTCCCAAGTAGCTGGTATTACAGTGTGAGCCACTGTGCCCAACCAAGAATTAACTTTCAAAGTTTTAAGATTGGTTTCTTAGACTTGGGTAATTTGCCTGATAATGAGGCTTTTTTGACATCACAGGCATAGAGGGAGATAGACCTTGATCGTAGGGTTTAACATGTGTGTAACGTATATGGTTTTGAACCAGAGGCGGTGCTAGAATGGAAGGAAATAACTTCGTGTTTTTATTTATTCTCAAGGTGGTTGTCCCTCAGAAAAAAGGCAAAAAGGCTGCTGCAACTCCAGCAAAGAAGGTTGTGGTTTCCCAAACAAAAAAGGTTGCAGTTGCTACACCTGCCAAGAAAGCATCTGTTACACCAGGTAAAAAGGCAGCAGCAGCAGCAGCCACACCAGCCAAGAAGACAGTTACGCCAGCTAAAGCAGTTGCCACACCTGGCAAGAAGGGAGCTGCACAAGGGAAAGCATCAGTAGCTACCCCTGGTAAAAAGGGAGCTGTTACCCCTGCCAAGGGGGCAAAGAATGGCAAGAATGCCAAGAAAGAAGATAGTGATGAGGAGGAAGAAGAAGAGGATGATGAAGATGAGGATGACAGTGAGGAAGATGAGAAGATGAGGAGGAGGAGGATGAAATTGAGCCAGCAGTGATGAAAGCAGCAGCTGCTGCCGCCGCTTCAGAGGATGAGGATGATGAAGATGATGACGAGGATGATGAAGAGGAGGAAGATGGTGAGTTTTCTTGGTGGTTCCTGGGCTTCTGTTTGCAGGCTATCTTGAGACCTTCTGGACTCAGGGTTAGATTAGACAAATTTTATCCAAAATCTTCCAAAATAGTTCTTGCCATAACTATTTAACTAAGCACAGTGACAGCCAGCATTTTCCTTTCCCTTAGGTTTTTCTAGAGATTTTTAACTAGGCTTTTTTATTCAGACTCTGAAGAAGAAGCTATGGATACTATACCAGCCAAAGGAAAGAAAGCTCCTGCAAAAGTTGTTCCTGTGAAAGCCAAGAACATAGCTCAGGAGGAGGATGAAGAGGAGGATGAAGATGAAGAGGATGATGAGGATGAAGATGAAGAGGATGATGACGATGAGGAGGAAGACGAAGAGGAGGAAGAAGAGGAAGAAGGTATAAGACTAGGTTCTAAGGGGTTTTGAGTGATGTTTAAATGAAATTTTTACTTAAGTACTCATGAATGTAAAATTGTTTGAAATCTTATCCAGAGCCTGTCAAAGAAGCACCTGGAAAACGAAAGAAGGAAATGACCAAACAAAAGGCTGCTCCTGAAGCCAAGAAACAGAAAGTGGAAGGTAAGCAGATTTAGGGGACATGTGGGTATGACTAGTAAGAGCACAAATGATGAATGACAAAAGGGACTTAATACTGAAACCTGATGTTACATTGTAGTATGCTGATGTGCTATGCATAGAAATTTTGTTCTGGAAAATGACTTGTACCATGGTTTATAAACAGACTAATAGCATTTTATTCTCTGTACAGGCTCAGAACCAACTACACCTTTTAATCTCTTTATTGGAAACCTGAATCCTAACAAATCTGTCCCAGAATTAAAAGTTGCTATCAGTGAACTTTTTGCTAAAAATGATCTTGCTGTTGTGGATGTCAGAACTGGTACAAACAGGTAAGTGCTTCACTGCATGTTATGTAATGGATAATGTTTTTTCCCCCAGATATCTTACCCTGATGCCCATTTACAGGATCATGTAAATGTCTTAGACATCACAGTGAGCTAAGTCATTGGATTATAAAATCATAGAGTACCCAAATTTGAAATTTTCATAATCAGCCATAACTGTATAATATAAAATAACAGTTTTGATAATTTGGTGTTCATAGTTTTGGAATACCTAAAACTGATAAAGGAACTACCTTAGTGCTTAAGCAACTTTCTTTGTTTGCAACCACTCTCAGCTGTTTAAAGTTGTCTGTAAAGAAGAACTCAAAGGGGAATTTACATATAATGTCTTGGTACTTAGCTCTTGTTCTTTAGCTGAAATTTACATAGCTTATACTTATATTTCATTAATAGGATGGGTGCTTTGTAATTTAGCCTACATTTATCGCTATCACATTGGTGTTGGTACATGGTACATGTCTAACGCTATTTTTTTTAACCTGTAATTTTTGCCCTCTTCACCTCAAAGGAAGTTTGGTTATGTGGATTTTGAATCTGCTGAAGACCTAGAAAAAGCTTTGGAACTCACAGGTTTAAAAGTCTTTGGCAATGAAATTAAACTAGAGAAACCAAAAGGAAGAGACAGTAAGAAAGGTACGTAAAGGTGTGTCTTTGGAGTACATAATGAGACTACGGTCTAGTGTACACTTTGCGGAACTAGACTTCGAAGGAAAAATGGGGTTTTTTTTCTTTTCCATTGGTTTCCTCCAGATTTGAGAAATTAAAAACAAGTGTTTAAAATAGTACTCAGCATTGTCTTCTGGTATTACAATAGAAATTCCTGAGTTAAGCAAAAATGGTTAATTTTAAAAGTTGTAGGCTGTGTATCCCTTGTCTGAAATGCTTGGGACCCAGAAGAGTTCTAGATTAAGATTTTGGAATATTGTTGCATATGTAATGAGATACATGGACATTGGCGACCCAAGTCTAAACACAGTTCATTTGTTTTATACACACATAGCTGAAGGTACATTGCTTGTGGCAATACTGTGGTTTGAACTTGGCACTTCATGATGCTAGTCACTCACTCACACCCACTGAGCCACGTCTGTAGCCTTGAAGGTACTTGTGGCATCATCTCAGAAAAAAGTTTTCTTTTGGTGAGAGGGGTTGAACCCAGGAGTGTGCTAGCATACATACTACCACTGAGCTGTATCTCTAGCCCCTCAAGTTTTTCTGCTCGGGTGGTTAACCTGTGTTTCGTGTGGTGTACGTGGACCATTTTTCACTTGACCATTTTGAGCACCTACTCTAGGTCAAACTAGTATGCAGATAATTAGCTATCTACTGTGGCAGCATGGAGGGGACTGCTGCTGTTTTGCCACTGCTATTCATACCTCCATTCTTAGCACATGGTAGTTTCTTGGAATTTTTTTTTTTTTTTTTTTTTTTTTACTGTGATAATAAGTTACTCAATGTTTTTAAACCTAGTTCGTGCTGCAAGGACACTCTTGGCCAAAAATCTCTCTTTCAACGTCACTCAAGATGATTTGAAAGAAGTGTTTGAAGATGCCATGGAGATCAGATTAGTCAGCCAGGATGGGAAAAGCAAAGGGTATGGTTTTGTCTTGTTTCATTAGGGTGCTTGTTTTGTTTTTGAGACAGGGTCCTTAACTATGTAACCCAGACTGACCTCAAACTCAATCTCTTGCCTCAGGAGGCATGTGCTACTATACTAGGTCTCCTTTACTTCCCTGTTGATGAAAGAAATGTGATCATTAATCTGTAAACTCGTTAATCAAATTCTTACCTTCTTAGTGTGGGGATAATGTGTAGAATTATTTTTGGCTGTACTGGAGTTTGAACTCAGGGCTTCATGCTTGCTAGGCAGGTGCTCTACCACTTGAGCCAGTCCTTCCTGTGTTGGGTATTTTCGAGGTAGGGTCTAATGAACTATTTGCCCCCTGGCTGGCTTAGAACCTCAGTCCCTGATCTCTGTCTCCTGTGTATGTAGCGAAGATTATAGTCTTAAGCCACCAGCTCCCAGTACATACAGAATTATTTTAAAAAATGAACTAATACGTGAAAAGGAACAATCCCTTACTACTTTATAATAAATGCTATATAAATAAGTTGTGCGATTCATGCCAGTGACAAACTGAGCAATAGTGGCTCTGTACAACATCATGACAGTTATCCTAGTTATGTACACTGTGTTAGTCCCAGTGACTAGTGCATTTTTCAGAATTTATCTCTGCCATAAAGCTTGGCTATGCTCAGATTTGAAGGAATGTCTTTTAATGTCATTTCTATTGCAGGATTGCTTATATTGAATTTAAGACAGAAGCTGATGCAGAGAAAGCTTTTGAAGAAAAGCAGGGAACAGAAATTGATGGGCGATCCGTTTCCCTTCACTACACTGGAGAGAAAGGTCAAAGGCAAGAATTCAGAGGTGGAAAGAATAGCACTTGGACTGGTGAGAATCTGGCCTTTTTACAGGGTTCCAGATTGATGGTGGAAGTCATTTGCATCTTTGTACTTGATAAGTTATAAGTACATTTTTAATTAGGCAAGAATAATTAGAAATAAATGATCAAGTTACCCATCTACTGATACTGTTATGTCTAGTCTTCATAAATGAGAACTCTGGGCAATAGGCAAATCTAGCACGAGAGGATGCTATGGAACAGTAATCCAGTTTAACACATAAAGGAATGGGAGGAGCAGAGTGTTGCAGTGCAGTGTGCGTGTTCAGTATGTTGAGCGACAGAAGTAGGCATTTGAACTAGCACTGGTGTTAGTGCACAGGTTCTTAGGATTAATGATTATGGCAGTCAAATCACTGAGTCAACAGTGGCATCTTTTTATTTGCAGGTGAATCAAAAACTCTGGTTTTAAGCAATCTCTCCTATAGTGCAACAGAAGAAACTCTTCAGGAAGTGTTTGAGAAGGCAACTTTTATCAAAGTGCCCCAGAATCCAAATGGCAAATCTAAAGGGTAAAATGATACTTTTATATTGGTCAGGAATGGGTTACGAAGTATCTTGTGTAGGTCTAAAACAGTCTAACACTTACCTGGCAAGTGGGAGGCCCTGAGTTCAATCCCCAGTACTGGGGACGGGGGGTGCTAAATCATAATCTTGTCAGTGAAAAGCTGTACAGATGAGGGTAAAGCAAGAGGATCTGTATCTGTGAGGGAAGAAGCTTGGTGGCATTAGATAGGGGCAGAGGGCTTGATAACATTATTTATGTGTTAACTGTCCACCCTCAGGTATGCATTTATAGAATTTGCTTCATTTGAAGATGCTAAAGAAGCTTTAAACTCATGTAATAAAATGGAAATTGAGGGCAGAGCAATCAGACTGGAGTTGCAAGGACCCAGGGGATCACCTAATGCAAGAGGCCGTAAGTTCCATTGGCAGGATGTTGGGGGTTGGGTGGCACCTTCAGTGTTTTTCTCACAAGTCTGGAATGACCTTTCTTCTGTTGCTGTTGAGTAAATGACAACTGGATATGATGACTGATTACCTGAGAAATAATTGATGAAATCTCAAGAAAATTCCTCTAGATAGTCAAGTTCTGATCCAGATGTGTCAACTCAGAGCAGCAAGTTTGCATTTCATTTTCCTATCTGGGCAGTATTTGCTTGTTTGGATTGCTTTTCCTGCTCTCTAACCTGAGGCAGTAACCCAACTGTGCATTGACAATAAAACATGTCAACTCAGATTGCTGTGGCTGTAACCCTTTTGCTTTAATGTTAAGTTGCCTTTTCCACTAAAACAAAGTATACTAGACATGGAGCAAAATCTGTCGTTACAAATTGTGAGCTAACCAAATTAATTAATTAATTATTTTTTTCCCCAGAGCCGTCCAAAACTCTGTTTGTCAAAGGTCTGTCTGAAGAAACTACCGAAGAGACCTTAAAGGATTCATTTGAGGGCTCTATTCGTGCAAGAATAGTCACTGACCGGGAAACAGGGTCCTCCAAAGGGTAAGATGTGGGAAGTGGTTCTGCATGAAGAGCTTGGCCCTGAAGTGTCTTCTCATTGAGCTCCTTTCTGTCAGCTATGACAGTTTATGGATTCGCACGAGAAGAAGAGAAACAATTCACAGAAATAGCATTACTTTACCTTCTGCTTTTACAGAGGTATATTTGGCTATTTTGTGAGACATTCTGAGATTTAAACTAATTAAACCTGTTAGAATTACCCACAGGGAGGTAGCTAGTTGTCATGTGGGCCTTTTTTCAACTGAACAGGCTATTTTATGTAGAGTCGGGTTACGGTGGTTTTTCAGTATGTGCTTGCTTAAAGTGGGTATTTTGTTTTGTGTTTTAGGTTTGGTTTTGTAGACTTCCACAGTGAGGAAGATGCCAAAGCTGCCAAGGAGGCCATGGAAGATGGTGAAATTGATGGAAACAAAGTTACCTTGGACTGGGCCAAGCCTAAGGGTGAAGGTGGCTTCGGGGGACGAGGTGGAGGCAGAGGAGGCTTTGGAGGCAGAGGCAGAGGAGGCAGAGGTGGATTTGGTGGCAGAGGCCGGGGAGGTTTTGGAGGTAAGGCGGGTATGGACTGTTGTACTGGAACCAGCATGACACATGTACTGCCTAGCCCTTGTTCTTAAAATCACCTAATGTGGTGATATGCATCTTGGCATCACCTTTTCATGATACCTTTATTTTCTGCAGGCCGAGGAGGTTTCCGAGGAGGCAGAGGAGGAGGAGGAGGAGGAGGAGACTTCAAGCCACAAGGAAAGAAGACGAAGTTTGAATAGTTTCTTCTGTTTCTGTCTTTCCCTTTTACATTTGAAAGAAAGGACTCTGAGGTTTTTACTCTGTTACCTGTTCAATGACAGAGCCTTCTGAGGACATTCCAAGACAGTATACAGTCCTGTGGTCTACTTGGAATCCAGATAGATAACATTTCAAGAGATGCCCTGTTGGTTTTGACTGGATATTCATATAAACTTTTTAAAGAGATGAGTGATAGAGCTAACCCTTATCTGTAAGTTGAATTTATATTGTTCCATCCCATGTACAAAACCATTTTTTTCCTACAAATAGTTTTGGTTTTTTTTTTTTTTTTTTTTTTTTTTTTGCGTTGGGGGTTGTAAAAGAATGTTTTATCATGATTTTTTTTTTTTGCTTCAGTGACTTTAGGACAAATTAAAAGTCCTAAACTCTGGTGCCAGACTTGTACTTCCTAAGACTGTTTCTCTTCAAATGTCACTGGAGCATGGAACAGCCAGCTCTGCCACTCATACTGTTTCCTAGCCACATGTGGGTGAAGTGACTGGGAATGTGAACAGTTTCTGCAGTTCTTCATGTGCTGACCCTGGGTGTTTTGTTGGAAGACCTATAGAGTTTTATGTACTGAACAAGTGTCTCCTAACCACAGGCAGTTAAAAGCATCAGTTTTGGAGCTAGTTGAATGGATTAATGCTAGATGGAGAAGTCAAACATGCTTCAAAAACATTGGTGTGGAGAGGCTTTCAACCCAACATACCAATAAGCCTTTTTCTTGTTTTTGCCCCTGTATGTATTTTGTTACTAGACCTTGTCTTCCTCACTGTAAGTCAAGGGACTATTGTGGATTTAGCTGGAAAAACTGCCCCCAAAGTAATCCATGTAGCCAAGTTTAAAAGCCTATTCTAGGGCTGCCAGAGTAGTTCAAACCCCAGTACCATCAAAAAAAAAAATTGAAAGTACCAAATCTATAAAATAGGATACTTTGGGAAGGATTACTTTAGAAGGCAGTCTGAACAAGTACATGGTTTGGTTTTGGCCTTGTTGAATTTTGTGGGGCCTAGGGAATGCTTATCCACCACTTGTTCTGTTCAAATCCTGTAGAGCAGAACAAGTGTCCCAACCGCATTCATGCTCTAGGATACTGTTAACTGTGCATCAGGAGACAATCCTGTCTAATCTATGTTTTAGCTAGTTTAGGGCTTAAAACCTTTGCTACTTAAAACCCATAAAGATGTCATGGGTTGTCTTTTTAGCAGAGCTGTAAATAGTGTGAACCAATACATAGGTTTTCCCTCCCTCCGCCCCCCCCAATGCCACCCCAGTGCCAGAGACAGACCCCAGGGCCTTTCACATGCTGGCAAGTGGTCACTGAGCTATCCCCCACCCTGTCCCTGTATATGTGTTTACCCCCAATGACCATATGTCAATTCCCAGAATGGTTAAAAAGTTGATCTGGAGGTCTGGAACTGAACAGATTGGGCTAGGCCGCTTCCTTACTGCTGGTGTTCGGCAGGCCTGGGGATACTTAAAAAGATCTTAAGATCTTCCCCTGAGCCTACATACAGCACAATCACTACTTGGAGAATGCTGCTGTATTTGGAAAGTCTGTGAGAGGGGTTTTGGTGGGTTCCTGTGCTATGGAGAGGGAAGAGTTTGAATTTTTCAAACTTTCAATGATTTCACACATTGGTTACTGTGAATACACAGGAGGATAGCTAGTGTTGCTCTAAATTTGTGGAGCTAGTCAAGGGCAAAAGGTTATTCTATACTGCTGTTTAGAGGCAGCCTTGTTATGTAGCTCAGGCTGACTTCAGAACTCCTGCCTCACCCTCATAAGTTCTGGGGTCACAAGCATATACCACCAAGTTCAACTGCTTAACCATTCTTTGAAGGAAAGGAAGATGGTCCAGCACTGGTTTTTTTTTTTCCATCAGGCTTGTGTTATTTTCCTATAGGATGAGGTTGGAGGGTGGTTGGTTGCCCTGCAGGGTCAGAAGGATGCCAAGGTTTATAATTCAGGGACCTGGATCCTGTTACATTGGTCCTCCAGTTGTGGGAGGGTTTGCAGCCATTTTAGAAAAGTATTTCTGCAAATGGTTGTCACTGTGTTTCTCACTCTTCCACAAGGTGGCAGCAAGAGTCCACAAAGATAGGGAAGCTCCTGACTGTTAGGGAAACCTGGAGCTATCTGGCCAAAGGTCTCTCAACTCCAAACTCAATTTCACAGGAACAGATAGTGCTGAGATTCTGCAGGAAACCCACCCAGCACCCTAGAAAACTGATAGCCAAGTGGGACCTAGGACTATGTTGAATGCCTGCGCTGTGCCCTTTATCTGAGCATTCTCCCTTTTTCTCCTTGTATCTCAATCTTTACCACTTAGGCTGAAGAAGCCGCAAAGCTTTTCTCATCCAAAAGCAAGCATGAGGCCCTGAGTTCAAACCACTTCTACAGCTAGGCTCAGGCATGATGATACCTGCCTATAATCCCAGTACTGGAGAAGTTAAGACACAAGTATTTCAAGTTCAAGGCAAACCTGAACTGTAGATACTGTCTCAAAAAACAACAAAGATAAAGGCAAAAGCTGGTTTATTAAGGGAATAGAGACTGCAGATAGAGTGTAGTTGTAGAGCACTTTAATACATTCGAGGCCCTGGATTTGATTCTTGGCACTGCAATTAATGCAGTCAACAACCCCATAGGAAGATTGATCAAGAAAAGTATAAACAGCCATTATTAGAAATGAAGTGGAATATTCTTGATTCCACAGAGTAAATAAAATGAATGTGAGTATCTTATTCTAGTAAGTTTAATGACTTACATGAAATACAAAAATGTAACTTTACAAAGTTGATGCAAGCTGGCTGGTACAGCTCAGTGGTAGAGAATATATATTGCGTGTGTGAGGCACTTGGCTTAACCCCACAAAAGCAGACCAAAGCTTACATCAAAAGACCCTTTCTGGTGAAACCAAATCCAGGATTAACCTTCCTACAAAGAAAACATAGTCCAGTGGTTTTATGAGTAAATTCTATCAAATGTTTAAGGAAGATCTTTTGTGGTACATCAATTTGAACTTGAGCCACTCCACCAGCCCTATTTTTTTGGTGAAGGGTTTTTCTGAGATTGTATCATGGCAAAGTATTTGCCAGGGCTGGCTTTGAACTGTGATCCTCCTGCTCTCTGCCTCCTGAGTAGCTAGGAGAGAGTAAGAAGTATGTCTACTAGCTTATTGAATAAAGGAGAAAAATATGATCACCCAAAAGGAGAGAAGGCATTTATCAACAGTAAACATGGATGATAAAACTAACAACTTTATGAAGAACACCTATGAGAAGTCTATAGCTGACTGGGGGCCTGTGGTTGACACCTATAGACCCAGCTGTTCTGGGAGGCAGAAATTGGGAGAACAGGTTCAAAGCCAGCCCGGGCAAAATATCTTGACAATATCTAACACAGCATGGCTTCCTAGCAAGCACATGAGGCCCTGAGTTCAAACCACAGAGCTGCAAAAAAACCTAATAGCATACTTCATAGTGAAATATTGAACATTTTCCCATAAGATCAATGCAGTCCTCGTTTCTAGTTAACATGTATTGGAACTCCAGGACAATCAGGCAAGCAAAATAAAACACAGCTACCTACCAATAAATAAACCAGGGATGGGGGATTGTGGTGCAGCGGTACAGGATGCAAAAAAGTCACCTTTTCCCAACATTTCAACAAAGTTACAGGATTAAACTCCAAATTTGTGGCCAGGCAGTTAGAAACCCTCCAAGCTGCTCCACCGGGCTTCTGTGTGTGTCCCTTTCAAAGGAGGGTCCTCTGCCTGTGCCCAGGAGGCAGCATGGCGATTTGGCCTGCAGCCGGTGAAGAACTTGCATGGTGGAAACAGCTTTGTCCTGATCCTGTGGTATGACTGGTTCTGCCCAGGAGCAAAGCCCCTAGGCTGGCTTCCACCTTGCATGCTGAAATAATTCCAAAAGGATTATGAAGTGTTTCTGGGTGTTGGTGAGTTTCTTTGCAGAGAAACTGATAGGGGATCGTGCAGTGCTATCCTTCCAAAGCACTTCCCTGCCACTTTTTTTTTTTTTTTTAAGCTTTAAAATAAACTTCCCTGCCACTTGATCACTTGCAAGGATGCCAGGTGCAGCTCAACAAGAAAGCTTGCAGATTTTCTAGGAGCATGGTGAATGGTGACTTTTGAACCTAGAATATCAAGACTCATCACATTCTTCTGTGTGTGTGTGTGTGATGTATACATAGTGTCAGTTTTCTGTTGCTGTCACAAATTACCCACAAAAAGGAGGAAAGATTTATTGTGACTCAGTTTCAGAGGTTTCATTCCAAGTGATTGGCTCCATTGCTTTGGGCCTGAGGCGAGGCAGAACATCATAGATGGTGAGACAGTGGTGAAGGAGGCTGTTTACCTCATGGCAGCCAGGAACCAGTGAGAGGGGCCATTTGCCCTTCAGGACATGCCCTCAGTGACCAACTAGGTCTCACTTCCTAAAGTTTCTACCATCTCTGGATAGTGCCACCAGCTGGGGACCAAGTCAGAGCAAAATGGACTGGAGGTGTGGCTCAAGCGGTAGAGTGCTAGCTCTGCAAGAGTGAAGCCCTAAGTTCAAACCCCAGTCCCACCAAACAAACAAAAACCCTCTTTCTTACATGTAGCCCCATGAGCATGTACCACCATAAAGGCATGTTTTGACGTTGGCAGAATGGCTCACGTGGTAGTGTGCCTGCTTCAGTGTGTACGTTCACCTTTTTATCCCTTGAGAGGTGAACGGTCAGCCTTTGGGGCTGAAGTCCCTGCAAAGCTCTTGCCTCTCTTATCTGCTGTACAGCAACTATTGTGTAACAGCCCATCACTGGTGGTGTCCATGAAGCTGCTGCTATCAGTTCCAAAATGGTCTGGTCAGATAAGTCCAACCAGCTAGAAAGCATAGCAACAATTGGGCCAGGAGCAGGGTCACAGGGTTTAAGGTATACACGGTCCTGCATCTTCAATCGGGTTTCCAGGAGGGTGGCCTGATGTCTTCCCATTCTACCAGCAGTCAGCCAGGAACCCTCCTTTTGTTTTAGGAGGATGGAAACAACGTGGCACAGATACCATAACGTCTGCAGGAAGGGCCAAGCTTTGCTTTTCATGTACATACAATTTAAATTCTTTCTGTAAATCAGACAATCCCGGGGCCAGTACCATCATGGAGCTTTGTTTCAGAATTTCAGAGGTTTTGGGACATTGGCACATGCAAACCAACAGTTCAGAGTTGGTTCCTTTGAAGGTCTCATACAAAGGCACTATTAGCCCAAAGTTTGGAAACCAA